CCATCAGGATTAACAGTATAAACACCACTTGTAGTAATACCATCCTCTAACAAGCTCTTACAATCATCTATAATATAAGAATTAAACACTTCTACTATTATTGCAGTACCTTTTGGACAAGACTTTGGGTATTCATTAGGACAGAAAATATAATGTGATATACCAGTTTCTTTGATAGAAAAAGCCTGCCCTAAGTTACTGCTTTTACAGCATGTCCTTATATACAGTGATGGTTCATGTTTATATCCAGTACAATCAGCCATACAATAAGATCCTTCTCCTTCATCAATGGTAGCTATTAAACACAGCAACAACAACATAAAGATGAACATCTTTGACATTTTACTAGACTGTACGTGAGTTTAACAAGGACTGGAATTTAAACCATTTATCACCTGAGCTTCTGTAGTTTGTTTGTATAATTGTAACTGATTTTTTACAACTATAGCTAATTTGATAGTAAAGTCCATTTTATAGATGTGCTTAGCTTACACTTAGCTTTGAGAGAAGTTGTAGTGTTGTGTAGCTTCATGATGCTTCAATAGCAGCTTTAATTTATTTTAATTAATAAAAGTCAAATAGTTAATAGTTATTAATAATCACTACAAGGTATGACAGACTGTAATATTGAAACGACATAATAATATATCAGCACAATGTAAACACACTTATGTGTGTGGGGGACAGTATTTAATTGTTACGACGAGTTTTCATCTCTGTGAACTTGAGACTGGTGCCGCTCAAATTATAATACCATCGGACTCCTTTAAAACTATTCACTGGAGTATTAAAATAATAACCATTAAGATTTGAATTTTGGCATTCATTGTACCACCAGGCACCAGTGCAGAACTGAGCACAATTACCTCCATAGTTATCATTATCATTATCTCTTGTAGTGAATCTACTTCCATTATGATAGGTCAGACTATCTCCAGCAGTACCACAGTATCCTCCTACTGTTAGTATATATTCAGTACTACCATCACTAACATTAAATGTAGAGTAGTTAGCATAAGCTGTGTTCCTCTCAAAGTCTTCCAGGTCCACTCTTAGTGTGTTTGATCCTTCTTTAGTAAGACGATGAATCTTGCTCAATCCTAACCAAAACTCACCAGTAAGGTTACCAAATCCATTCTCATAGTCAGTCCAGTATCTATAGAAATCAACAGATCCATCTTGTCTCCTCTGAAATACAGTCCATCCACCACCATCAGTCTCCATATCACAGTATACCTGTGATCCAATAGTGTATAATTATAAATTACTTTTAACTAACTTCAAATGGAGTCCCTCCATCAGGATTAACAGTATAAACACCACTTGTAGTAATACCATCCTCAAACAGGCTCTTACAATCATCTATAATATAAGAATTAAACACTTCTGCTATTAGTGCAGTACCTTTTGGACAAGACTTTAGGTATTCATTAGGACAGAAAATATAATGTGGTATACCAGTTTCTTTGATAGAAAAAGCCTGTCCTAAGTTACTGCTCTTACAGCATGTCCTTATATACAGTGATGGTTCATGTTTATTTCCAGTACTAGCCATACAATAAGATCCTTCTCCTTCATCAATGGTAACTATTAAACACAGCAACAACAACATAAAGATGAACATCTTTGACATTTTACTAGACTGTACGTGAGTTTAACAAGGACTGGAATTTAAACCATTTATCACCTGAGCTTCTGTAGTTTGTTTGTATAATTGTAACTGATTTTTTACAACTATAGCTAATTTGATAGTAAAGTCCATTTTATAGATGTGCTTAGCTTACACTTAGCTTTGAGAGAAGTTGTAGTGTTGTGTAGCTTCATGATGCTTCAATAGCAGCTTTAATTT